ACTCACAGTGAACTTGGGCATCCTCCAAAGATACCAGTAAATGCATTGTTTGTTGCCTGAGGCAACACCTTATAAGAGAGCCGAAGCCAAAGCTCTCCTAACTGTAGTAACTGGAGTCGCGCAAGGCTGAGAGTGGCAGGAAGGGGATCGGAACTCACCCCTCCGGTTCACTCTTTGCAGCATTCTGAGGGCTTTCTCTGAGGAGGAAAGCCACCCTGGGTAACCAAGGTGTCACTGCTTTAACGTAAAAGCTGGCGTCTCTCACCTGTTCTAGCTAACGTCAGTCTAGGAGAGGCCTTTCTCTTTTTGGACGTTTTCCTGCTTGGTTAGGGAGAGAAGACCCACTGCAGATCAAACAATCAGTTCATGATGCTTTTAAAAACATCAGAGATGATGAGAAAAGTGGGAGGCGGGGGTCCTGAATGAGGATCTTTAAAATGGAAGTGGAATCTCATTCTCTGCCCTTCTTCAAATGTTCAGGTGGGAGTTCTGTTCTTTTTTTTTTTTTTTTTGGGGGGGGGAGATTTTTGCTATAGGGTACATGCACTCACCAGAGACAGAAAGAGAGGAATCACATCCCCCTCCCCCCCACACACACACAGGGGAGATAACCACGCTGCAATCCCTTCTCCTCCATTCTCCTCTTGGGATTTTGGGCATGCATACATACACACATGGGGTGAGTTTTAAGTCACCAAGTTCAGGACTCAAACCACAGTCAACTACATGAGAGTCCAGCAATGTAACCATTATGCCATTTGCTGGTCCCCAGGTGGGAGTTTCTACCCTTTTCTAAGGTTCACTACTTTCTGGGCAGCCCCAAGGGATGGATCATCTTAAAAACCTTCCTTCATTTCACTAACCTTGGTCTAAGTCTTCACTGTCTCTGTCTTTTCACAAGTATCCTACTCCACGAACACACGGTGATGCCACAGGAGATGAGCTACTGCCTTCTGTGGTCCCTGCTAGGTCACAAGGAGGTTCCTCACCTTTCTCCCTTCCTCGCCAGCATCCCATCCCCCACATGCGTCATCCCTCTCCTTGCCCTGAACCAATCTCCACAGCCGAGTTCCAGACACCAGCCAGGTCTGACCAGGCAAGGGCATAGATCAGCACAGTCCTGTTTCTCCAAGCAGCAGGCACTGTGGGCTTGTGCACCACTTCTAGAAACCTCTGTGCCACAGAATTTCCACTGTTGCCATGACGGGTGTTCGGCATTCTGCCCTTGACTTTTTGTCTATCCATGTGCAGCTTTGACAGGAATGCTCTGACAAAGAAGGGATAAGGGGATTCTAGATGCATCTGGATCTAGGCACTGCCCTGCATACAGGGAAAACACATGACTGAAAAACAGTCCTTCCACTGCTGTGTGCTCATCAGAACACGAGAACAGTAATGGAATGACCTGGGTGACTCCTCAAATAGGCTCTGCGCCAAGTGCTACGGGAACCCATGCGGAGGCTCCTGACTGTGGGCTCCCCTGGGGAGAGAAGAGTGGGCAAATCACAGCGGAAAGCAACGTGTAAGATTTGCACAAAGCAATCATCACAATTCTAAGAATATGAAAGCAGAATGTAGGTATAGTTTATGATCCAGCAAGTCTACTCATAAAAGGGCATGTCCAAGCAAAACGTGGCCACCAAGAGGAACATTCAAGAATGTTCACATGCAAAAAAGCGCATGGCAACAGTATTTGTAGCAGCCCAAACCAGAGACTACCCAATGCTCACCAATAGGATAAGTCAACCATGGAATACCCTCTCAATGGAATGAGCAATCTACAACTACATAGTGTGGGATTTCACAGATGGAACTGGAGCAAAAGACAAATGGGAAAGATTACGCAGAATATATACTTCCATTTATGTAAAGTATAGAAACAGGTCAAAACTAATTTGTGGTAGGAGTTAGGACAGTAGTTAGGTATACAGGAGGTAATAGTGACCTGAAGGGGATCTGAAGAGGCTTTGAGGGTGCCATAATATTCCAGTTCTTAATTTGGATGCAGGTGACATGGGTGTAAACATATATAACTCTGTATTTCAAATATGCGGGACCAGCAGATGGCATAGCGGTTACATCACTGGACTCCCACGAGGCCAACCATGGTTCAAGTCCTAGGTTCAATGGCTTCAAAATCATACCAGGCGCATGTGCTTACATGTCCAAGATCCCAGAAAGAAAATGGAGAAGGGACTGTCGTGTGTTCGTCCCCCCTGGGGGGGGTGATTTCTCACTTTCCCTCTCACTGGATAGCAAAAATCTCTCTAAAAAACAATAGCAAAAAAATCTCTAAAAAACAAAACAAAACAAAACAAAACAAAACAAAACAAAAAGCCCATATAACTTCCTATTCCCACATTAGAAATATTTCACAGACTCCTGCATTATGAGCCACCAGCCCGATGGTATCCACCTCCTCCTCGTTTCCTCCAAGATAATTTCCATACAATTATATTTCTCAGATCATTATCTTTTCCAGGAGTTCTCATCCATTTGGCTCTGGCCCCAAGATCATATGAAGAAACTTCAGGCTGCCTCTCTCACTCCTGGATTGTTTGTTCTTCACAGACAAGGAAGTGGAGGCGAGGCAGGAATGGGGCAGTTCTACATTCTCTGCCGCTGAACAGTTTTCTTCCCTCATTTGCTGCTTCCAGAGTGCTTCCCTTCTTCTCCAGAAATTTCTACACTTCTCCGAGCCTTTGAGAACAGCCTTTGTTCACTGAGAAGAGGAATCTGCAGTCTCATCAGCTCTAAACCAGCCTCCCACCACCCTCTGGGCAAAGTCCTACTCAGAAAGGAAACAGAAGGGAGATGGATGGAGGGGGCTGGGGACGACTGTGCCTGGTGGGGACGGGTGGTGTGGACGGTACGCAGAGTTCGGAATGAGGCAGCTGGCCCTGAGGCTGCCCTGTAGGCCTGGCTGGGTGACCTTGGGCCTATCTGGGCTCGTGACCATGCAGTGCAAAGAAGCTGGACAGGAGGGTTATGAGTCCTTTCTCACTCAAAACATTTCAAACCCCAAGTGCAACTCTAAGCATCTATACGTGGAACAAAATTGTATCAACACTTAACTCTGGGTCGTGAAATATTTAAAGAGCGTTTTCTTGTCTTCCACATTCCTCAAGTAGTCTCTACAAAGACACCACTGGTGTGTTTGTGTATTGTGTGTATTCACAAGCACAATTTATTTTAGTTTCCTATAGGTAACATGCACTTGCTGGGGAAAGACACAGAGGAGGGGGGCGGGGTGGTGGTGGTGAGAAATTGTCCTCCACCCCAGGGAGATGGCTATGTCGCAGTCCTGTCTCCATTCTTCTCTTGGGATTTTTGGGCAATCATACACTTGTGCCTGCATGTTCTTCAAGCTGCTGGGGGTCCAGGACTCAAACCCCAGAGTTGGCCACGTGGAATTCAGCTTCTTAACCACCGCACCACTTGCTATCCCAAGAACAGAAAAATTTTAAAGGGGAAAATAAGGGGCCAGCAGATGGTATGGTGATTGAGGCGCTGGATTCCCACATGGCCACTGTGGTTCAAGTCCCGGACCTGGCACCTTGCTATCTCACTTTCTCTCTCTCTGGTGAGCACACATGCCCTATAGCAAATTAAATAATAATGATAATAATAAATTAAATTTAAAAATTCTTTAAAAAATAAAGAGAAAAATGAAATTGAAATTTAAAATAAAGTCAGAGGAGAAAGAAAGGCTCAACCAGAGACCCCAAATTACCTAAATGCTTATAAACTGTAGAAGGAGCAAGTTGAGCCAGTCGCCAGGCTGCAATGTCTTTGTACGCTCTTCTGGCGCCATCTGCTGGTTAGCCCACATGCAACCGCTTACTTCGGTTCCAAACAGGTTCTGGAGTAAATGGAGGTGAACATTGATGGGGAACATATTCAGAGTAAAGATAAGAGTTCCATTTTGCAGGCAAATCTTGCCCCATACTCATTTCCAGAATTCATTTTTTTTAATTTTTCTATAGGATGGCTTGTTCGTTGGAGAGAGCTTAAGAAAGGAAAAGTGAGAAATCATCCTGGGGAGGGAGGAGATGGCAACACAATCCTTCCGACTCCATTCTCCTCTTAGGATTTTGGGCACACACACACACATACACACTCAGGGTGTTTTTCAAGCCACTGGGTTCCAGGCTCAAGCTGAGCAGTCAACCATCACACCACCATCTGACCCCAGAATTCATTTCTGAATTTTTCCTCTCTGTAATGATTGTCAGGGACATCTGGACAAAACCCTTCAATGTAAGGTGATCTTCAGTTGGTCACCCAGTAACTGGAAACTCCTGCCAGGCAAAGGCCAGGAATGATTCTCTAGCCTTCCTCCCTGTGGGCTTGGACGTCATGCAGAGGAGACAGCACTTCAAGAAATCCACTCAGCTCCTACTCCATAGACAGGGTGAGATTAATGTGTCTCTACCTCTTGGGTTCCCCTAGATCTGTAACTCATCGGCCTTTGGGTTAATACTGTCCTCCAAACATTCCCCGTGGTCTATGCAAATCCAAAGTGCTGTCCCTCTGCCCACCATCAGTTCTGCTTTCCCACCGACCCAGTGGAAGTGCGGCCCCTTGCTCCCTGTGGGTCCCACCTGCACAGCTGTCCTGCAGGTGAACAATGTCCACACTTCTAAGCTGACCCTGTCCCCCAGAGCCTGCCAGGAAAAGGTCTCTTTGCATCTGGGACTGGGTTTAGGTGCAGGACAATCTGCATGTGCACCAAGCCTGTGTAAGCCACCCCTGCTACAGCTATGGATGGGATCAAGCTTTCTCGTCCCAATCTTAAACACCCCCCTCAAGTCTTTCTGGACTTCCATCAAGGTCTTCACGTGACTTTTATTAGTAAAGAATGATGAGAAGGTCCGTCCTCCTCAGGATGAAGGAGTGGCCCAGGAACCCCTGATTGGCCCTGTCTGGGAGGGAAGGGCTGCCCTATTTGGAGAGAAGCAGGAAAGCCACCTCCCCCAGCAGCTCCTATATAGCTGGCAGGCTGGCTGCCAGGAGGGTGTGCTGGAAGACGGACAGCTCGTGGCTCCAGACGCCCACTCCCACAGAGAGCCCCAGGTATGTGGGGAACCTTCTCTGTGTTCAGGGGTGCTGGTGTCTGACCAGGTCTCTATTCCAGACTGAAATCGTGCAGTGATTTCTTTCCTCCCACCTCCTGAGATGGACCCAAGTCCCAGGAGACCTACAGGATGTTCACTCATCCCTGGTCTATTTCTGTTGGGTGCTACTTTAGGGTTGGCTGGTTGGGATCTTATTTTGCTTTTAAGCTCTTGCCTATGAAAATTAATTTCTTTCTCAAGAACACTATGCTTCTATTTTTTTTATTTGACTTACCAGTAATGATCTATTATGTTATTATTCTTATTTAAGAGTTCTCCTGCTGAGAGATACAGGCTGAGGACATGGGGTATAGTCTTCTCGTTAGGTCTGGGTGCTCATGTCCACCCAGGACAGAGACCGGGCAGTGTCCCCAAAATGTAAGGACCAATGAGGCCACCAGAGGTAACTAGATGTGCTCTTAGGTTGTGTTTTACCTTTTTTTAAATATAAGAACTGGTGCTATGCCAGAGTTGAACATTTGGACAGAGGAATATGAACCACTTGTAGCAGTGCTGCAGGGGACAGTGGAGGGAGTGTGAGGAGCCGGCTCAGCGAGCTCATTCAACCTCCTGTAGCTTCAACACTTCACAGATTTGCAGCAAATGAGTGTCCAGGAGACAGCGTGGACCTGCACGGACAGAGGTCTGGGGGCTGGTTGACCTTAGGCTTTCCACAATAGCTATTGTAGTTCCAGAAGCCAGATGTGACAGACTGTAGTTCCAGAAGCCAGATGTGACAGACTTAGGGGTGGGGTGGGGGCTATTCCCTGGTGGCCTCAGCATCCTTTGGAATAGCCTGGGCCACCTTGGCCAGGACCCTCGGTATTCCCCAGGTCCTCACATCCTCCCTTCATCTCATTTCCTGTGAAATTCCTCAAGAGCCCTGCTCTTCACTCATGGCTCAGCTTAAGGCCATCCCACCAGGGAGTCAAAAGCACAAAACACAAGCCCCATCCCCTTCCGAAGCCCAGATGGGCGTGGGGCATGGCCAGCAGGTGTGTGGAGTCCGGTGTCAGACAGAGCAGGATTCAAACGTGTCACCTCCCCTCGTAAAATCTTGGGCAAATTACTTCTCTGAATCTCAGTACAACGTGTAAAGATTGATAATAATGACGTACCTACTCCAGGTGAGAACCAAGTGAAGCAACATGACAAAAGGGCTTCCCTCAGTGGCTGACACGTATAAAGTGCTCAGAGGGGGCAGGTGGGGTGCAGTGGGGGTGTGAGAATGAGGACCCTGTTGGGGATGTTGTCTCTCTCTTTCTCTGTATGTGTCTGTCACTCAAGAGAGAAATAAATACATAAACTTTTAAAAAGAAAAAAGCTAGTAGGACAGGCAGGGGACACACTGTCCCCTAGAGGATGAAATTAAAAATGATTCCTACATTGGGACCAGTAGATGATGGAATGGTTACATGACTGGATTCCCACATGGCTGACCTGAGTTCAAGTCCCAGACCCAGCAGCTTCAAATTGATGCTGGGCACGCACGTGCATGCCCAAGAGGAGAATGGAGGATGAGGGATTGTGGCATGACTATCCCCCTGGGGGGTGATTTCTTGCTTTCTGTCTCTCTGGAGAGCACACACGCCCTATAGTAAAAATGTCTCAAAAAAAAAAAAAAAAAGGAAGAAGAGAAAAGAGAATGATTCCTACAGCACATCTTGACTCCTTGCGATATAGGGAAGAGGGGTCCTTAATTGCATTTCCATCTAGCTCTCCCCTGCCCCCCATGACTACAAAGTCCTTTAAGATCGGCAACCAGTGGCTCTCTGAGAACAATGGCAGAATGTGCCCAAGATTGTGCCAGTTAGAGCAACAGCGAATGCAGAGCCAAGGTTAAATTTTCCATCTCTGCTCAGAGCATTCAATTCCAACTTTTCTGTATTTTCCTTGGAGAGACCTTTGCATCTGAGAAACTTGGGCACTCCAAAGAAAACCTCTATGTATTAAGTCATCGCTTGTTCTCCCATGGGTATTCAAAGGCTTTCTAATTGCCAGGTGCAGTTTCTTATCTGCCTGAGAAAACCAAGATTCTGTCTGAGTGGGTCTAATTCCCTACGCGAGCCAAGAAACTCGGTATTTGAGTTAGCCCTGCAGCCCGATCCTGGGGAAACTATGATGCTTTAGGGAAAATGTAAATGCTGTTCAGAGCTGCTTCTTTGCTTAAAATCTTCTGCTCGGGAGAGGGCAGGGGAACCTGGTAAAGTGGTGGGGAATTAACTGTCCGGCCATTTCTCTGGCAGGTTCTGACACAATGAGGCAGCATCTGGGTGGATGGTGGCTGGCCATTGTCTGTGTCCTACTCTTCAGCCATTTCTCCACCGTCAAGGCGAGGGGCATAAAGCACAGAATCAAGTGGAACCGCAAGGCCCTGCCCAGCACCGCCCATATCACCGAGGCCCGGGTGGCCGAGAACCGCCCAGGAGCCTTCATCAGACAAGGCCGAAAGCTGGACATCGACTTCGGAGTCGAGGGCAACAGGTACTATGAGGCCAACTACTGGCAGTTCCCAGATGGGATCCACTACGATGGCTGCTCTGAAGTCAACGTGACCAAGGAGATGTTCATCACCAGCTGCATCAACGCCACGCAGGCAGCCAACCAGGCCGAGTTTTCCAAGGAGAAACAGGACAACAAGCTTTATCAGCGGGTCCTGTGGCGGCTGATCAAGGAGCTCTGCTCCATTAAGCACTGCGATTTTTGGCTGGAAAGGGGAGCGGGACTTCGGGTCACCATGCACCTGCCGGTGATGCTGTGCCTGCTGGTCTTCGTTTGGTTCGTCGTGAAATAAGCTTGCGGGGAAGTTGGCAGCCACTGTGATGAGCTGGTGGGCAGACCTGTCATCATCCCAGTTGTTCTCCCTCCTCCCCAACCCGCATGTGTTCTGAAGGTACCAACGGGCCGCGAGCCATTGCACTTCACTATCACTCCCAAGTACCCGCCCTGGCATCTGTCCGTGTCAATAGATGTGTCTGTCTGTCTATCCCTACAGGCTCCACTGGAGGGTGGGACCATGGCTGGCCTATCACTTCGTTTTCAGCTCCAAGCAGAGTGGCTGCACAGCATGAGACAATACGTGTTTGGTGACTCGATAAAAGAATGTGTCAGGAACTGTGCCAAGCACTTCACCACAATGCCTACGCATAGGTGTCATTCCCATTTTACAGAGGAGGAAACTGAGGCTCCCAGAGGGAAAGTAGTCCACCTGGACACACAGAGCTAGAAAGCTGGGATTCAACCGTGGCTTGTCTAACCGCGGGGTTTTTGCTCTGTCCGATCCCAGAAGTATGTCACATTCACTTTATGGCATGCCCAGATCGAAACACCTATCTCTAATGAAACCATCCATGAAAAGTACCACTTTTAGAGGAAAAATTTAACCAAAAAAAGGACCTGAGTCCACGACCATACTTTGCTCCCATATGGAGATTTACTTTACTCCTTCTAATTAAACTAAAACATAATAATAGAATTAAACTAACATAGAAAGAAACCTAGACTAAGATCCAGAAATCTTACAAAGCTGTTTCCCATAGCCGGACAGAATTACAACAGGATGCGTCTGGCGCACTAAGATTTTTTTTTCCCCTCACAAAAAAAGTATTTGCTATTCCCATCCCTGAAATAGTCCATGTATTTAAGACAAAAAATGTGAGTGACACGACTGCTTCTCAGAATTAATCTGTGGGCCAGCCTGGTGGTTAAGGTGGCTGGATCGCATATGGCTGACTGTGTGGTTTGGGTCTTAGACCCAGTGGTGCATGTGCCTGCATGCTCTAAATCCCAAAAGAAAGGAGAAATGGAGGAGGAGGGAGAGCAGTGTGATCACCCCCCAAGAGGGGCTGCAAACTCAGGTTCTGTCTTCCCCCCCCCACCTCTCTCTCCAGCCAGTGCGTGCATCCTCTCACAAATTTAAAAAGGAAGAATGAATTTGTTCTATACTCGAGTTGACCTACCCCCCTTATTAAATATGTGGATGTAACAAAATATAAATATAGTTTAAATTAAAATAATGAATCTAATGCTTCAAGATACCCCCTTCTTTCCCCCCCTCCAGCCTCCGAGGCTACTCTGAGATTCCCAGGAGTTGTTGGGCCGTATTTGGAGATAATAGCTGCTAAGTATTATCAACTCTCCTCTAACAAGAGTCTGTAAGGCGGGAAAATGGGCCTTGTCAGACAAGTTATCTTCGTGTTTCAGAACGCGGTTATTGATAACGGGACCTCTTGTGCTGGGTTCCCACCACTATCAGTGTTCTTCTCAAGGCTGCAGCTGGAGGTTTTAACATTGAAAGTGGGTGGAGGACTTGGGGGTGGGACAGCCCGGGGAGGCAGGAGGACACACCCACCCGCTGCCTGTACTACCCTCACCTGCTGCCTGGGTCCTGTTAATTCCAATCAGAGCAAGCAAAGAACTGAACACACAGAGATCATTTCTTACTTGCCTTTTTTTTTTTTATTTCTTTAATAATAACAATGACAATCAAGAAAGAAAAAGTACTGCGGCAATTTCCTTTCCTGACCCTCCTAAGTTTAATTGCAAAGACGCTCACAGTCGCATAAGCAAAATGACTTGATTTCTGATATGAAGACGCCGAGGCCATGATGTAATCCCTTTATTGTCAGTCATCTCTCCTTATTTTGTTAATAGTCTCAGAAACTAGATTTAAGTGGGGTGTGGAGTGCATTCGTATCTAGTGATTCAAATACAAAATTTGTTTGTGTAGCTTTTAATTGAAACTACTTAAACATCTTAGCTCATGCTTACGAATGACAAGGAGGAACAAAAGCTTCCTACCGTTGGCTTTCCCCTTTAGCCAAGAGTCATTCGGTGCCTATTAGGTCCAAGACATTGGGGGGAAATTCTGAATGGTTCCTGATAGATTCATTTTACAATGTAAATCATTTCACCCACTAACGCTTTCTTGCCCCTCTGAGTCTGGACTTCTTAAGCTTAATGTGCATGTGACATTAAACTTCAACAGAAATCCCAAACAAAAAATTGCTATGATCCCAGCCCCTGATTCAGTCAGTGTTTTCATTTTCTGCTGGAACCTCGTCCTAAGCCATTTCCCTATATCAATTTACATCTTTGCAATAATTATACAAGTGAGCTTTTAGATTCTTAATTTTAACTTTGTTCAATGATTCTATTTCCCTATTATTTTTGCTTTCTTGTCTCTCCCTTATGTTCCCCAGCCCTACCCCTTCCTTCCAATCTGAGCTGAAGTCTTTGCAGCTTTATGTACTCAGCTATATATGAGTGGGGGTTTCTGCTTGATTATGCATTTCAAAAATACTATGATTATACATAAATATTTATTCCTCTGCAATTTTCCTTTCTGACTTGACACTGCAACATGAAACTCTCTGGGTTGAGAGTTAGCTAATTCTTCCAGTTAGCTAATTCTTCCTTTTAAATTGCTGTGTGATGTTCTGCAGCAGATGTATCGTGCTGATGTAATCATCTCCTAGTTGATGGGCCTTCAGGTTGTTTCTTTTTTTTTTTTTTTTTTTTTATTTTATCAGATGTGACTCGGTTATATATTCTTGCACAGCCAGAGCAAGCCCCATGCCTGCCAGCACGGGTATGGCATTAACCCGGGAGAGCTCCAATGTCATTTTAAGTATGAAAAATTGCCTTTTCTGCAAACATCGCTCTAGTGTCTTCTCCCTTTTCAGAGACCACACCTAACGCTTCCTAAGTAACTCCTGATCCTAAGGATCATTTGAAAATTCTGAAATTGTTAGCAATTCCCATGTTAAACCTGCTGCAAAGCATCTGAATGGGAGAGTTGGAAAACAAGCAGTGACTCGGCAAGCCCCCTGCTCAGAGGCGGTGCATTTGCACACTCACTAGCAACCAGCAGAGGCGTGGGTGAGGTCTAGTCCTGATCTTTTTCCTCATTTTCAGTTACTGTGCAAGTATCTGCACGAACTCCCTCCAGGTCACAGTGCTCAGACAGAACAGGCAGTGAGCATACTGGTACAGCAGCCAATGCGACTTGTCCCTCCAGGCCTGGACAGAAGACCAGCATCGTCCTGGGGCCTCTCACACCCACCTTGCTTAGGATGTGCCTGACATCATTTAGAAAGCCCACTCTCTGGTCAGGACCAGCAGATGGTGCAATGGTTATGTTGCTGGACTCCCACATAGTCGACCACAGTTCAAGTCCGGACCCGGTGGCTTAAAATTCACACTGGGTGCATGTGTATGCATGCCCAAAATCCTGAGAGGAGAATGAAGGAGAAGGGATTGTGGTGTGGCCATCCTCCCTGGGGGGTGATTTCATGCTTTCTCTCTGTCCGCCTGGTGAGCACATGCTTCCTATAGCAAAAATCTCTCTCCCCCACAAAAATAAAGAAAAGAAGTCCATCCTCTGGTCCTAATGAGGTGAATCCGGGTAGTAGTGGCCATGAGACTGTCTTGAGCAGCTCACACTCTCTACACTCTCTACTGACAGCTTTCTGGTAACAAGTGGCTGGCTTGGGGCAGTGGCCCGTTATTGGGTGCTGTGAGAACATTCAGGGTCTCTTCTGAGATGCTGACAGCAGGGCCCATGTTCCCCTATGCAGTCAGCAAGCAGCACAATCACAGATCATACAGGCCAGGCAAGTGATCCAGAAGATTCATACAGATCTACATCATGGCAAGTCTCTGTTTCCCCAGACAAAACTCAGACACTGCTTGGGCAAGCCCAGTGCAGGCTAGTGGTTATGTGCTTGCTTTCCCTGCCCCAAGGCCATGAGTCAGAGACAAGCATGAGATCTCTCTTCTACTCTCACTGTTGGCAGAAGACTCCATTTCAGTTGGACACCCAGCTACCCTAGAAGGAAAGGGAGGAAACCCCCATGTTACTGGGAATGATATACTTCTACAAAATGAGTCTAAGATACTATGTCTCTGAGACATCTCTAAGCCCATTCCAGACCACTCAACTCCTTCCCCAGGAAAGCAGTATCAGCTGTTTCCCTTAGTGAATGGGAGCTTTCACTTGGGTCCATGACTTTAAGCACCGAGAAGGACCAAGAATCTCCCTCCTGGAGCACTGAAGTCCTGAGAACTCCTCCACATCATGAACCCCAGACTTATACATGGTGAAACACTGTTTCTCTGACAGCTGTTGTGTGAGAAGTCTCAGCTGAAACAAACAAACAAACCAAAAAACATATGCTAACCATACCCTTCTACCTCCTGGTGGTTGTGCCCAGCACAAAGCTGACCCTTTAAAGAGTTAATCCTCCAATACTCAGTGTCGCTTCCTCCCCCAAGATGACTGCTTTGAATTTCATACCTCCATCCATCCATCCATTCACCCAGCCAGCCAGCCAGTCAGCTCCACCCTCCTTG